TCGAGGTTCCAAGGGTTCGGTTGTTCGCCGATGAAAGTGGTAAACTCATTGCCGTGTCAGACGAGTAATCTCTGACCTTATTACTTCACTATATGTGGGAAAGCCCTTTTTTTTTTTTTTTTTTTTGGGGGGGGGGTAAGGCCCATGTGCAAGGCCTCTATCCTGGTGGTGGTAAGAGAACCACCGAGATTGAGGCTTTGCCTGGCAGGCCGCTCCATCTGTTGGTGGGGAGCATCACCTGCTGGAAACCAGGTCCAGCGTCCCTTAGATACATCTTTACAAAACAGCACATCATTGAACGAGACGCCGTTGTGCTGGAAACCAGGTCCAGCGTCCTATATCCACAGTCTGCTCTTCCAAAACTGTCCTGCAGCAGGGTCGGGTATTGGGGGGGGAACACTGGGCGGCACCAGTGCGTCTCCCTCCAACCCCTAACCCTGCCGTCCACCCCCTATCCTCAGGCGCCAATTGTGTCAGTATGCCAAACATTTTTTCCTCATAGTAGATCATTGAAAGTAACGCCCTTGTGCTGGAAAGGTCCAGCGTTCCATCGTCCCCTAATTCCTGCCATCCACCGACTATCCACAGGGCGCCTCTAGAGTGAATATGCTGAAGGATTTTCAGTGAGAGTTGGGCTCAACGTCCCAACAGTCTTCTCCATCTCCTGGTGGGAAGCGTCTCCTGCTGAAAACCGGGTCCAGCGTCCCTTAGATAGCATGTTAGCATAGGTCCCGTTTCCCATCTTCAGTCAATTCGCCTGCAACTGCTTACCGGCCCAATTACAGAGGGACAACAGGAAAACAGCAGGAGGCTAGCAAGGGGCAGCAAGGGACAGCAGACCAGCAGAAGAACAGCAGGCAGCAGAGGGGAGCCAAGAAGTTAGAGAGGAAGCAATATCAAAAACCGCAGGAGACAACAGGAGGCAGCAGAAAGCAGCAGATAGCAGAGAGTTCCCAAGGGGTAGAGAAAAGCAGACAGTGTAGGGTCTGCTGAGTCTGCTGAGTGTAAATTGAGTGTAGTGTACCGACCAGCGTCCCGGGTTATGCCAATGGCAGTGCTTCCACCAAGGACAACGGGTTGGGGGGGAAGGGGTCTGCGAAGTCCTGGGCTGGTCGTAGTGGGTCACCGGGATCCACCTTAATCCAGTCATGGAAGATCACCTGATAATCTCTTGCCATTCCCCCGGACCATTTGACCTCAGCCACCCATCCTGCCCTTTCCCCTCCCAACCAGTCTTTGCTGAAGCAAGAAATAATCTTGTTCATGTCCCTCCAGGTGTATGACAGATCAAGCTTATCCTTAGCTGATTTCCATTGGGTTGCAATTTCATGTTGGACCAATGTTCGTACTTGCTCCATAGCTTCTCTGTCCTCTACCTGCGCCCCTTCTATCTCCAGGATACATCGCTTCCACCATATGGTCCATAGGATGCTCCGCCTTCCCAGTTTAAACATATTTTCCACAAATATGTTTCCTTGGATTTGAGGGTAATATCCTAAGAGAATG